CCCAAGGCCCTAGGTTCAATTCCACAGTACTGAAAAAAAAAAAAAAAAAGAAAGAAACATAGAAAATTAGCAATGGTCACTATTAATACACAACTGGTCCTTTATAACAGTGTAGGCAGTAGGGACCACCTCTGGTTTGTGATAATAAAGCCTCACCACAACAGAAGTGCTGATATTTCTGTTGCTATAAGCTGTGGAAGGAAGGTGTCAGAAGATAATTGTTCAGAGACACAAAAGTTCATCACTGACTCACAGGAGTTGTTAGCTTTGCAGTGCTGTCCACGTTCCAAGATATACCCTTCCTCGCAGAGGCACTGGTGATGGCCATGTTTGTTTTCACACTTCTGGTCACAAATTCCCCATATCTGGCAATCATCAAAAGCTGCCACAAGAGAAAAGCATGTTCATAATCATGTCTATCAGCATTTCCTGAGTATTCCCACACAGAAACCTTGGACATGATTCCTAAGAATATAGTTTTTCCCTGTCCAAAGTACCCGCTAGAGGCTGGAATAGGATCCAGGCATACCAAAGCACAACAGAAAGCAGAAACTTATACCAGGCATTTTCATCAAGGGAAAACCCAGGAGGATTTAAACTGTCTTTAAAATCTACGCAAAAGTTCACTTCTACAGATGATGCACAGAACTGTTTGTACCCACAGTCCTGTGTTGTTGTGGTTCATTTATTAATATTGGCTTATAAGATAACATGCTTCTCTTTGAAACTGTGCTTTCCAAATAGCAGCCATCTGTCCCCATGACTACCTAAACATATTTGATTAATGAAATTAATAGTTCAGTTTCCCAGGCATGTGTGCTACACTTTAGGTCCTCAATAACTATATATGATTACTGGTTACCAGATGAGTGAAGATACAGGAATATTTACATTAGCCACAAAGTTCTGTTGGGCAGAACTATTTCAGAAGTTTTGACTTGCCTTATACCTGGCCCCTTAAGAAGACAGTCTGTGACTGAAAATAAAGTATTTGGAAAGTTTTAATTTACCCAGCTGGCTTTCCTTTGATCTCAAAGTCATAACCAACATTAAAATTATCTGAAATGAAAAATATTTCCCGCTTGTTCATTAATTATTCATACATTAAATAAGCATTTATTGAATGCTCCTTACATAAGAGATGTCCACTGTCCCCCAAAATCTCAGTTCTACTGTACAAAAAGAGTTTCAATATAAATGATATAAACAATGTGGGGGATAACACAACATGGTAAAAGTCTTTCTTAATGATTGTAAGCTTTGAAGGATGCATAAATTGTCCTATTCCTTGTAGACTAGTGCCAAATATCCTCCATGTCCACAACACCTCTCCATCTAACTGTGCCCTTCTCTTCCTCCTGGAAGCATGACACCCTCAGTCTAGGCCTACAGGCCTCCCATGCCCTCTGGCATTAGGAAATCCAGAAGATTAGAAGTTCTGAAAACACTGTACCCTTGGGTCTAGAATTCTCCAGACCTGATTTTACTGTAGCAAATGTCCAAGTTCTACAAGGCCCTCTGGGTGCCCTGTCATCCCAATGACTTCCAACTAGAAAAGCCCAGAACAGTCCTGGGATCAAGCTAATGTTCTAGTTTTCCCTCCGGACCAAACACATCAACATTGGCTAAGCATATCTTTCTTGCCAGCAACTGTAACTAAGCAAAGTAAAAATAATAATGATTACTATTAGCAAATCTGGGTGCAAGGCCCTCGTGGACAGTCTTCTCTATGTCCTCAACTTCAGCCCTGAGCAAACTCCATCTGACCAGAGGCTTCACCTCAGTGGACAGGAAAGCAAGGCTATTCCTCAAGTTACCAGGATGTTAATTACATTTATTTTTGTGTGTGTACGTGCACACCCACATTCCACATCATGTGTGTGGAGGTGAGGTCAACTTTCAGGAGTTGGTACTCTCCTTTTATTATGTGGGTTCCAGGAATTGATTTCAGATTGTTAGGCTTGGAGACAAGTGCCTTGATCCATTGAACCATCTCACTAGCATATTGTCTAATTTTTTAATTTTTATTTATTATTTTTATTTTATGTGTATGACTATACTGCTTGTATGTATATAAGTACACTCATGTCGTGCAAGGCCTAGTGGAAGTCAGAAAAGGTTGTCAGAGTCCCCTGGAGCTGGAGTTATGGACAGCTGTTAGCCTCCATGTGGGTCCTCTGCAAGAGCAGCTGGTGCTCCTAACCACTGAGCCAACTCTCCAGCCTTGCCACTGCCTAGTTTTGATTGCAAAACCCATGAGACTATAGCTAATGGTTTGGAGTCAGGTGGCAGCAGGAGTCTGGATAGCAGAAGGAAACTAAGGGTAAACTTAGAACATGGCATCTGAGGCCCTCCCTGTCATGTGTGCTTTGAGTGAATTACAGATTTGAATAAGTGTATAAGATTACTGTCTTTTTTGGGGAGGGGTTAGACAGTCTCCCTGTAGCCCCAGCTGGCCTGGCACTCACTATATAGACCAGGCTGGCCTCAATCTCATAGAAATCCGCCTGCCTCTGCTTATTGCTGGAATTAAAGACATGCACCACCATACCCATTTATTACTGCCATTTTTAATAACTGAATAAGATATCAAATCCTTTGCTGGACATCAGTACCAGGACTAAATGGTGAGACCATATCTCAAAAGAAACAGCAACCAAAAAATTTGAAATTTAATTCAAAAAATCTTCTTAGCTTAGACAGCTTAGGATACCTCTGGTCTATCTGGCTGGTGACTCCCCCCCCCCCGCCACCTGCCCCAGCCCGCCATGCTGAATGACCTCCCTGCCCTGACCCTACACCACAATGTCATTCTGTCAACAGCATGTCCTGTCAATCAGAAACAATGAGCGCAGTAAACTGTTCCCAAATGCCACAGAGGCTCCACTGCCAGGTCAAGACTACCAGGGGCTGATGAATGGTGGAAAGACACGAGATTCCATGTCAACATTACTAGATTTTATTCTTGATTACCACGGAGGCATTTAGTGGAAGGACATGCCTAAGAGGGTTTCTAAAACCTAAGCTAAGTTGAAATGTTTGCAAGAACAAACTTAACAATTCCCTTAAAATCTCAACTCAGCTTAAGTGACTGTATCTGATTTCATGATGCCATATAATTAAATGAGAGTTTTCTTCAGTCTTCTTTGAAACAAATATGAAATAAGAGTTAAGCCAGCTTCAAAATTCAGAGGCATTACTGAAGGACAGGGAAGGTCAAGAAAAGGTCTCTGTGGGTGTCAGGAAGCCTTCCAGTCACAAAGGCCCGACTTCTGAGCTTATCTTCAAATGAGGTTGTCTGTAGTAATGTCCCAGAACCTGGAGGACTGAAGGGATCCTATAGTAGAACTAGTACCTCAGTGTTGCACAGTGCTGTTTCTACTGCACTACGAGCTCAATATTTGCAAGAACAAACTAATAATTTGTTAATAAACCCCCAAACGATCTGCACAGCACAATGAGGCCATTTTTCTGCATCATATCATTAGTAGGCAATATGTAAAATCTGATAACACAATAACCTTGCTATGTCAGCTTTTAATTTCTTAAAGCACTATACAAAACTGAAATGACTTGAACCCCTGACATTTGAGAAATTCTAGATACTTGGAAATATAAGGCTCAGTTCATCACAGCCTTACATATTAGAAAGACAGAAAACGTACTGAGTCTAAAATAGGAGGGGGAAAAAAGCCTGAGAACAGGTTGTAGGCATCACAGGACTGAACCAGGGGATACTGTAAGAATAATCACTTTAAATGAAAAGGCTCTGTGGTTTATCCAGTTTCCAAGCAAGACAGACAGCTGAGCCCCAGCTTCACTTCAGGGTTTGTGAAAGAAAAAAAGAAAAGCTGATGTAATACCGAGAATGCGGCTGCTGGTATTTCTATTGGAATTCCTTTTCTACTAAGAAAGGGGGTAATGCCTAGAGAAGTGGAAACCAGATTGGCCACATGGTGACAGCCAAAGGGAGCAAAGAAGCTTGGCACCTGCCAAAGACAAAGGGGTAGTCTCACCCCACAGATGAGCGCCACCCCAGAAAACAAGATGCTGCCCACACAAGGATGCCAGGGGAAAGGGGTAGGGCCTACAAAGTTAAACAGGGAGGTCTACCTGCCAAATGAGGACAAGTCTGTCCTCGAATCCCCAGTGCACTGAGACTAAAACATGCCCCAACCATCTCAGTGTCAGAGAATATTTTATCTACAAAATATTCTGAAATGATCAGAAACCTGGAGAGTGTTTTTGGTAAGTTATAGATCCCTCAGTCTCCAGGATCTGTCAGGCTGATATAAACTGAACCACAGGCATTTATATAGCCCAGACTGACATCAAACCTACTATGTAACCAAGGATGAATCCCTGATCCTCCTGCCTCTATTTCCCAAGTGCTGGGATTATAGGTATAAACCACTGAACCAGGAGACCCACTCTAACACATCAAGCCAAATACAGTTACTTAAGAAGAACAGTTGGGTTACAGACATACTTTGGGGTATGATCCTGATATTTAAAAACCTAAATTAGCTGAATATAATAGTACATTCTTATAATCTCAGAACTCAGTATGCAGAGGCAGGAGGATTAAGAGACTGCAGCCTAGGCTGCCTTGTCTAAAAAAAGAAAAAGAAACAAAGGAAGGAAGGGAGGAAGGGAGGGAGGGACAGAAAAAAGAAAAGAAAAAACTACTTCGAATGTCACAAGGCTTCAATTAGATTAGTGACTATAAAAACTCAGTTTTTCTTATTTATCAAAAATTCCAGGGGCTGGAAAGATGGCTCAGTGGTTAAGAGCACTGGCTACTCTTGCAGAGAACCTGGGTTCAATTCCCAGCACCTACATGGTGGCTAACAACCATCTGTAACTTTAGTTCCAGGGGAAGCTGATGCCCTCTTCTGACCTCTGCAGGCATTGCACAACACAGGAACACTTACATACATACAAGCAACACTTGTACACAAAAATAAAAATAAAATATTTTTTTAAAGAGTTCCAAGTTAATGGCCAGCAAGATCGCTCAATGGGTAGAGATACTTGCCAAGCAACCTGAGTTCCATGCCCAGAACTAGGTAAAAGTGGAAGGAAAGAATCAACTGCACAATGTTGCTTCTGATCTCTATATGTGGACTGTGGCACGACCCCTTGCACAAACATACATACACACACACACATACACAAATATAAAATAATTTTTTAAAAGCCGGGTGTGGTAGCACATGCCTTTAACCCTGTTTCTACCCCCCCCAAATAATTTTATCTATTCCTAATAACAACTCCAATTTTGTTTCATACTGACTCCTCCTGCTTTTTTTAATTTTATTTATTCATTTGATCTTTTTTGAGATAAGGTAGCCCCAGCTGGCCTGGAACTTGCTATGTAGACCAGGCTAGCCTTGAACTCACAGAGATCTACCTGCCTCTGCTGGAATTAGTGTGTGCCACCACGCCCACTTTTCTTGAATTTTTTTTTAAAAAAAGAATTCCTCTAGAAGTCCAATTCATTATTCCAAGTATAACTCTCACCCCTCATCAAAGAAGCTTCTTTTTGCAACAGGTGGAGATCTCTGTAATAACAAAGATCAACAACTGGTAAAATGCAGAGAATAAGTGACCATGGGGGCCCCAACCCCAACTGATACATCTACAAAGCAACCCCTACACCTAAGGCTTATAGGGCAGAAAGTGCACCAGGACCCAGCTGATGGATAGTGTCTTCCAGACAAGACAGGGAGGCTGCACCCGTGAAATTGCAATATGTTGCCTAAACAAGATCTGCGTGACAACACCTGTTGACAAGCTCCCTGACAGGTGATCCAATCCCAAGTTCTCAGCCCTAAACATACCCTAAATGGCCTCAGTTGTGGGGGGGGTTGGCAACAAAAATTAAAGAAGAGAACACGAAATATGGGGCGGGAAGGATTGTAAGAAGTTGGGAGACGGGAGGGTAGAAATAAAAAACTACATAAATTAAACTAAAAAAAGAATTCCTTTTTCTAGAATCTAAATGTCCTCCTAGCTATTAAGAGCACTTCTATCTGATAATGCATAGTTAGTTGAAAGCCAGATGCTAAGAATGAAAACCAAATAACTTCATTAGGTTTATTCAAAATCAGTTATTTTTTGCCAAACGGCAGCAAATGTTTTTCAGAAGGAATGCTATTCTAAAAGTTTCTTTTTCATTTATTTATTTATGTACATATGAGTGCACGCATGCCATGGGTGTGTGGAGGCCAGCAGACACCCTGCAGAAGGCAGTCTTTTCCCTCCACCAAGTAAGTTCTGGGAATTCAACTCAAGTCATCAGGCTCAGCAGCCAGCATCTGATGAACCACTGGCCCATGCTGTTTTCAGTATTAAAAACCAGCCTGGCTCTACACTCTAGCATAGAATGTTTAGATGTGTGTGCATAAGTGGGTATGAGTGTGAGAGCTGACCATGAAACAAGAAAGAAACCATGAGAGGGAAAAAGATGCATTGTGGATGGTGGGTGGGGTGGGGCGTGTGTGAACACAGAAGGAGGTTATAGGGTGGGTGGAAGGGGACAGTAGGTGGTCAGGGAGATGAACGAGAAACCGAGGGAAGAATCAACAAAACAGTGTTTGAAAATGCTATCATAAAACCTAGTACTATATGTGGTAATTTAAAAACAAAATTTAAAAACTAACTTCCACATATCTCAAAAGAAAATATGACAGAGCTGCTGTGGCCACCATCAGGTAGTGGGCAGGTACATGTAGCTAGTCAACTCCCCTATCACAAGGCCACTCTCTAGCTTGTCACCTCACAAAAGTTTCTCTGGGTTTCTGACTGCCACCCACAAGTCCAAAGCCCTGAGATCAGAGTTTGTCCCTCAGTGCTGAGATGAACCACTAGGAGCTCCAGCTGCCTCTTACCAATGCAGGTACGGGTGTCGTTGGGGTTGATAATATGAGCTGTGGGACAAAAACATTGTCCTCCATCTGGTGTCTCGTGGCATTGGTACTCACAGTTTAAGACAGAGCAGGAACCCGAACCTAAACAGAGAAGGGAAGAAACACTGTTGGATCTACAGTCTCTGGACAGGATTAGTTTACCTAATAACTTTTCCATTAGTAAAAGTTTCATGAGCATGTAGCAGAGTGGGAAAATCTTTCACTGTCAAACCTTAGTGCAATATTATATAACAAATGCTTTGTTCTTTTTATAACTTTTTAAATGTTATAACTAGTGCTGTGTTCAGGTATATTTATGAAAAGTCAGGTCACAATCTTTGTGTCAAGTGATGGAAGGCTCAAAGAATGGACCAATAATACACCCTAAAAGTGTCAATCATTTCTTACTTCCAATAGTGGGATTTCGGGCACTCCTATATTTTTTTCTTTCTGTTAATGTCTCTTTTCTAAACTTTGAGCAATGACCTCATATCTTTTATTTTTAAGCTTTTATGATAAAACATCCAAAAGTAGGTGGAGGGGGTGAGGTGGCTTCCATAGCTGTCTCAGCATATTTAAATATGACAAGTGTTATCAGCATTGAGGGAGGGGAATCTTTGGCGTTACAGTTACATATGCACTTCTGCACAATCAGTCTAGTCAGTGAACAACTGATGAGATCCAGGTCATAAAGTGTATCCCCCACAGGAAATCAGCTGTCCTCAGAATGATGGGCTTACTGATGAAAGCGGGAGTAATATTCCATCACTAAAAAGTTTTTAATTACTCCAGGAAATTTCTTCATAAACAAGTATGATTATACAATATATCGAATAACACTGTATGGCAAATTCAATTTTACTACTGGAAAATAACTCAAAGTACCTATCTTAAGGACACTGAAAAATAATTCAACATATATATCCTAGGAGCCAGCTTTCTCCCCCCACCCCCTTGGTACTTCCAAATAAGACCTTTCCCCATAAATATAAGACAAAAACAGAGGACATAGTTTACTAGACAGGCTACTTGCCTAACATATATAAATACCTAGGTTTGGTCCCTAGCATCACAACTATAGCATTATCACAATTATTAAAATAAATTTCCCTATTGGAAAAAGACAGTTAAGTACCTTATCAAAAGATGGCAAATACATCTTCATTCCATTCTGACTTCAGCCAAGTGGCATCTGTGGTCAATGCCCTGGCAAACATGGCTCAGCAGAAGGTTAAAACTGAGTGATAGGGTCTGTCTGCTCTTTCCCCCATTGTGAAACCAAACCTAGGTTAGCCCAAGTTTTATTGCAAAACTGACATGTCAGTGAGCTTGTATACGCAAGCCACTAAGTCAGAGTACTTTATGGACATGCCAACTGACATACTCTGCCACTGAGAATCTACTCAAGGAAAAAACAGTCGAGCGTGATAGCACATGCCTTTCATCCCAGCACTCGGAAGGCAGAGGCAGGCAGATCTTTGTGAGATCAAGGCCAGCCTGTTCTACATAGCAAGTTCCATCCAGGCCAGCTGGGTCTACAGGGAAATTCTGTTTCAAAAAGACAATAAAGGGCTGGAGAGATGGCTCAGTGGTTAAGAGCACTGACTGCTCTTGCAGAGGACCAGATTCGATTCCCAGCACCCACATGGCGGCTATGAACCATCCTTAATTCCAATTTCAGGGGAATCTGAAGCCCTCTTCTGACCTCCGCAGCATTGCACAACACGGGTGCACTCACATTCATGCAGACAACACACTCGTACACATAAAATAAAAATAATAAAATATTTTTTTTTAAAAAAGACAGTAAAAAAGAAGGGCTGAAAGCTACCCACATACATTTGTACACTCACCACAGTATCTTCCACTTGTGGCGTTGTTTTCATCTTCTCCTCCTGGACAGTCTAAAACCCCGTCACAAACCTTATCAATTGAGATACAATGCCCAGACATTGGGCAAGCCCATTCTCTTGGGTAACATGAATTATGTTGATTGCTATCTGTAAGAAAATAAAAGCTATGTATGAAATGCTCAAAAAACAAAACAAAAAAAAAATTTAAAGAGAGCTATGGACCACCCTAGAGGTTGTGTCAACTCTTTGTAATCCACAGCTAAGAAAAGATATAAGCCTGGTAGTAAACAGAAATCCAAATGACCTATTTAATGTAATCAACTCTGACTTCTAACTCTCCCACCAACCCTTCTATTGCAATCCTAAGAAGTGACAAAGTGGAATTAAATTCTACTCCTTCTGAAGCAGACAGCCTCTAGCTATGCTGTAGGAAGTGCAGACCCAAATTATCACCAAATTAGACTCACATCACCCTAAAAGAAGATTTGGTTATTTAATCTTGAATTATATAACCAGGGCCATCAAAGTATCTCCAGCATTCCTGAAGGCTAGGTTTTGATTGTTCAAAGGCTGTTTTATTTGTTTAGTGAAACAATTGGCAATAGAAGAAAAATAACTAGGAAGACCACGTTCTGGAACACCAAAACTACCGGATGCTTCCAGAATAAGCATCACCTTTATTGTATGTGGGACTAGAATGGTGCAGGCAACTTGCTGTATGGAAGCGGGTGTTGGTCCTTGAGAACTGCAAGAACCTCTGATGACAGCAGCAGGGGGAAGAAGTGTGTGCCACTGGAGATGTCCTTATCAAATGACCTTCAAACATGCCCTGCCCTGCACCTGCCTATCCTAAATTCTATCCCAGTGCTCCCAATGCAGCCTAGTCTTTAGCCATGAGTGACTCACTTGAAAATCAGAATTTGCAACAACAAAAAACTAAGTTAAACTGTTACCATAGTCCTAAGTCATTTTAAAAACATTACATTGAACCCCATTTTTCTTCCTTTCCTAGCTTATTATTTTTATTTCACTTTTTCTATTTTGTTCTTGAGACAGGGTCTCACTGTGTAGCCCTGGTTGGTTTGAAAATCATCATGTAGACCAGGTTGGCCTCGAACTCACAGTGATCTCCCTGCCTCTGCCTCCTGAGTGCTAGGATTAAAGGTATGAGCCACCACGCCTGGTCCTAGCTTATAACTTTTACATCAAAATAAGATGTCTTAAAGGGGAAGGAAATGACATAGAGAAGGGAGAGAGACTATTCCACTTTAATGATGGAAAGGGGAGGATTATAATTGAGGCTGCATCAAGTTCTGTCCTTTTTTTATTATTTTTATTTTAAGTGTATGAGTTGTTGCCTGCATGATGTAAGTTCACCCGTACTGTGCAATCCCCACAGAGGTCATATGAGGGTGTTGGATCCCCTGGAACTGGAGTTACGGATGGTTGTTAGCCATCATGTAGGTGCTGAGAACCAAACCCGGGTCCTCTGCAAGAGCAGTCAGTGCTATTAACTGCTGAGCCATCTCTCCAGCCCCAAATTCTGTTTTTAAGAAAAACTGGTGGAGTTAACTCCTTCTAACCCACAAACTAAAATCCCTAAAAATCTCCCTGAACCTCAGCCAAGCCTAATGCTTGTCCCAAAAAAAATTGGTAACAAGGAGGAAAAACTTTATTCTTGGTAGGAATCTTATCTGGTCCTTACTGCATCCATCTTCATCCCCGGCATCTTGGCAGTCATCATCTCCATCACAAACCCAGGTCTGGCTAATGCAGATGCCATTGGAGCAGGTGAACTGGTGGCCACCGCAGGTATCATAGTCTGAAAGAGAGAAACGAAGCACTCAAAAGACAGAGCTCCTGGAGAAAATCAAAGTGCTCATTCACTGCCCACATCCATTTCCTAGAAACTGAAGATTCTACATCAGTTTAAGCCCTTGAGTACCTTGACAAATTTTTTTTTAATAGGAAGAAGAGGAAAAGGAGGAAAAAATAATAGCAGCTTTGGCTCTAAATTCTGTTTCTCAAGAGAAAAACGGAGAACAGAAAATGTGTAGTGACTGAGATGCTATACCTGCATTTACTTAACTTTATCACAGGCACTGCAACTGTTATCTAGGAGCCATGGTGCCACATTTTCTTTATTGCAATCACTGAAATAAAGCCCAGGTTCCACAAAGGAAATCAGGCATAGCTCCTAGAAAACTAGGGAGATGTTGACAATTGTCAACAACCCTAGCCAATCAAAGTAGGTAAGGGATCATTCCAGTTGGTAAACGTGGTGGTATTCATGGTATCGTCTAATTTCACTCTATTATCAAAATTATCAATATGCCTTGTACCCCTGTAGCCAAAGGAAAGAATGCAAACTGTCCATCAGTAACTCTACACAGATTCTTGGAGGACAAAGGAATTCAAGTCAAACAACAAGGTTGGAGCTAGAGCCCTTCCATAATCTTCTGGTTCAATCTGCCAAACACAGAAACTCTTCTTTGAGGCACACACAAAAAAGGTGTATTGGTGGGGGTAAAATACCCATAACCTCATGACCCAGCATAAGGAAATCACCGTACTGCAATTGCGTTCATCACTATTATCTTCACAGTCATTGTCGTGGTCACAGATAAAGGAGCGAGGAATACAGTCTCCATTGCCACACTCAAATTCATTGTGCATGCACAGTCCAGCTGAGACACGGTGAGGAAGAGAAAGAAACAAGATCATTTCAATTTCCTTGTCACTACTTTCATAGGAGTATTCAACCTCAAGTTTAAAAAGAGACTTATTAGGCAGTAGGGTGCTGATACAATCAGTCCTTTAGGAACAGCAAGGTCCTGGTGTAAGTACTCCGCACCAGAGGCTGATTTCAAACTATTAACATGAATTCAGTAAGCATGGGCTTGGGAAGTGATGTCTGTAACTGGCCCTCTCAACTCAGTACAAGCCAGACTCAACACATCACTGCACCTCTCGTGTATATGACTTACTGCAGTTAGCTTCATCAGAGGAATCTCTGCAATCAACTTTCTGATCACACTTCTGACTCATGTTGTAACAGGCTCCATTGGCACAGGTAAGCTGATCACATGTTGGGTAATCTGTTTTTAAAAAAAAAGAATGGAGACAAACCTTCAATTAAGACATGCTTTCAACAAACATTTCCTAAGTGACTACTACAGATTACACTTGGTTGAGGGAAGGGGACATTAATCAAATAACCACACTCAGCAAATGACATACAGCATCATAGAAAGAGGTGGGAGCCAAGAGATGGCTCCCTGAAGAAGTGAATTCTGAGGTGAAAACTAAAGAATTATAAAGAGGCAGGCACGGTGCACATGCCTTTAATCTCAGCATTCATGAGGCAAAGGTAGGCGGATCTTTGTGAGTTCAAGACCAGCCTGGTCTACATAGTGAGTTCCAGTCCAGCTGTGTCTACAGGGAGACCCTGTCTCAAAAAGACCAAGAAAAAAATAATAATTATTATTATAAAGAATGTGATGATTCAAAATGGAACTTCCTATCACATAATACAAATAATATCCCAGGAAACTTCCACACATGTTCTGGGAAATGGAAATTCCTCTCCCTGGAAGGTTAGAGGAAGACTGTAGGCCTAGAGGTAAGAAGACTTGGGCCTAAGCCGGGAATGCCACCCAGTGGCCATTTACTTTTACTCAGATTGCTGATCCTGTCACCATATATAAATAATTACCACAGGATAGAGGGTCCTAAGAAGACAATGTAGTAAGGAGCTTTGAAAAGATAATTGCTCCCCAAGTCATGCTTCAGTACCCATAAACAGACTCCAGGACTACTTTGTGAGTACCAAATCCAAAGATCCCTAAGTTCCTTATACAAAATGTTGTGATATTTGTATATAACCTATGTATATCATACCACATACCTCAAATTGTCTTTAGATCATTTATAATACCACATACAATGCAAACGCTGCATAAATATGTTATACTGTATTATTTGGGGAATAACAACAAAACGAAAGTCTCTATATCTTCAGTACAAACACAATTTTTTGCAATTATTATTAACCTTAAACTTGTGGTGACCACAAATATGACTTTACTTTTGCCACATTACATATATGTAAATATAGATATAGACATAAATGTATGTGTACAGTCACCTCAGTATTAACTATGTGCTTAATTCTGGTTTCCGGGTTACAGCAGACTATCAGAATGTTCACTGAAGGAAGAACACACTGTCTGCTCATCCTCTGTATCCGTACTTAAACGTGTGTCCTTTATGACTCCCAACTGTAGGCTTGATTCTCTTAGTTGTATGTTTTGCCCATGACATAATGAAGCTAAGCTCAAGGATCACGTCTTACTTATTTTAGAATCATTAGCAGTAAGAACACAAACTGGAACAGTACTCAATGTACTCGAAAATGCTCAACATTAGCTAGGCATGGGAGATCAGACCTATAAATCCAACACTCAGGAAGCTGAGGCAGGAGGATTATTGTAAGTTTGAGGATAGTCTGGGCTACATATTTCCAGGGTAGCCTGAGACACAGAGTGAGACCCTATCTCAAAAAGAAGAGGAGGAGGAGGAGGAGGAGGAGGAGGAGGAGGACAAGGAGGAGGAAAAGGAGGAGGAGGAGGAGGAGGACAAGGAGGAGGAAA